TGGTGTAGTGGGACAAGTATAGATTTTGTATTTTAAGGGGTGTGGGTTCGAACCCCTTTGGGGATAAATAATTTTTTTCTTTACAAGGGGCAGTTTATAATCGACCAGTAAACTTTTATTTTAAAAATAAGCAATTGTAGTCTTGGTGGTGTAGTGGGTCACGCACAGATTTTGTATTGTAAAGGGTGTGGGTTCGAACCCCTTTGGGGAAAAATATTTTTTCTTTTACAAAAAATCATTTAATATTAAAAAATTATTTTTTTTGTTTTTATAGCCTTTAGATAGAAAAAAATTTGCCGATTTTTATGCAATTGAAAGAGAATTAGTTTTTGATATTGACTTGACAGATTATGATTTAATTAGGAATTGTTGCAAGTACTTTTTCTTAATTTATTCATTTAAAAAATTAATTTTTTAGAGAAGCTAAAGTATGCAATAAATGTTGGCGTTGGATTATTATTGCTGTTAAAGTGCTGAATTTATTGTTAAAAAGTTTGTTTTTGCAATTTTGTTTAAATTTTTGGGGGGTTAAAATAAATTCTTTGTTAAAATAAAAATAATTCCCCCTAATGGGATTCGAACCCGGACCCCCTAAAAATAAAAAAAAACAAACATTTACCCACTACATCACACACAACAGTTTATTTCCTTAATTTTCCTCATTTTCTGTAAAAATAAAAATACTCTCACCGAGCGGGATCCGAACCCACACCCCTTACAACGTAAAATTCAAACCTAACCCACTACATCACTTAAACAACAATTAACTTTTTCTAGCTTTGATTCTAAAATTAAATTTTTTCAGCTCAATTTGGATTTAAACATTTATTGTGGGTATTTTCTGGTAGAAGGGGTATACATTGTTGGGTTGCTGATCAAAAAGCGCGTTCTTTAAATAATAAAGCTAGAGAGGCTGTAGCAAAATATCTTATTATTCAGGTTTTTAATTTTTAAAATTTATCCAAGTGAGTCTTTACCCTAACGAATTTTTCCCAAATATTAGTGTCCGATCCGTTGGATTTTTCTGGTGCCTGTCCCAAGTCCGAGGGTTTTTTCAAGATCTTCGGCAACATCACACTCAACAGTGAGTCTTTACCCTAACGAATTTTTTTTTAGCCAAGGCCACCCCTCTAAATGGTGAAATTTTGGCGCACACCTCATTTTAGCCACTGAATTCGACCCCCTGGCTACGCCCTTAATTTCCGGATTTTTTCGGATCGGGTTAATCTAGAAATTCCGGCAGGATATGGGTTGACATGAGTACAAAATCCGGTTTCCAGGCACAACCAAATATCCCTCAATTTATTTTAAATTTCTCTAGGGAAAAGAAAATTCAGCAAAAACCAAATATAGAGTCCATCCTATGGCAGAAATAGCTTTTCGTTGTATTCTGGACTCTGGAGAATTTGAAAATTTAATTTTTGAACAAGGCTGGCTCGATACACAAGAAGAATGGACCAAAATTTTAAATTTGTGTCCGGACGTTGAAATGAGAGAAATTATGGATAAAGAATTTAGGAGGTTTTTTTTGAATTTTAAAATTGAAAAAATTAATTTTTTCTTTAGAGTAAATACACCTCAAGATCGTTGGGAATTAATTACAATGAGATTTGATCAAGAAAAACGAGCAAAAATAAAAGAGGAAAATGCGGGGACTAAATTGCCTAATGTAAATTTAGGGTTTTTTAAATTTTAATTTTATTTTTAAAAATTTTGTTTAACTAATAAAGTAATAAAAATAACCCTCTTAACCTTCAGAACAAATATAGGAAGGCACCAAGGTTTCAGACTTATCCAACCATTGGGTGACCAGCAAAAAAAAGTTCCTTCAGTTAGGACCACCAAAAACTTCCTTCAGTTCGGACCACCAAAAAGTTCCTTTTTTAATAACCAAGTTCCTCCAAACACCTTTAAAAAATAATTTTTTGACGTCCAAAAATAAATCTAAAAAAATACCTCTTTCCCCTTCCAAAATATTTTCCAAAATCCCACCTAAAATTCTTTTAAAAATAAATTTTTCTCCTTAAGATACCAAACGAATTATCTATCAATTTTTTACGTTTTTTTGTTTTGGAATATGCTTATCCTAAACTTGACGAAAAAGTTACTGTTGGGTATCTAATTTTTTCTTAATTAAAAAAATTTTTTTTTAAAAACAGAATTAATCATTTATTAAAAGCCCCATTTACTGTCCACCCAAAAACTGGTTTTATTGCTGTTCCTTTAAATATTGAGGATATTAACAATTTTAATTTAAATGAACTACCGAGGGTTGATAAATTGGAAGAAATTGGTGGTGAAAGTTCCTCTTCAGGTAAATTTTTTAATTATAGAAATTGGGGACAGGGAAGGGACGTGGGGTTACCCGAACTCTTTTTTCGACTAGAAACTCGACCCGAATTTTTCCCGCCCCCGGTCTCATAGTCAGAAAAGTTACCTAGTTGGGTTAATTAAATGAATGTTTAGTTAGTGGGTAGAAAAATTATTTTTGGTGGAAATTTTTTTGGTTTGGTTAGAGAAACAATGGAATTCTCCTTTCAAAAAACTCTCAAAAAAATTTTTTTCTTTCTAAAAATAATTTTCTTTTCCTCCCTTTTTCAGTTATTCAAAATATTTCATTGTCTAAATATATCGAAACATTTAATTATTTTATTGAAAATTTGAAGGAATGACTCTTACAATTTTTTTTCTAATTGGAAGTTTTTCACTTTTTTTATTACTTAAATATTTTTCCTTAAATCAATGAGAATCTTGGGCTTTTAAAATATATTTATAAAACATCTCTTCTTAAAAATCCAAAACAGAAAATAACATTACAAAATACAATGTAATAGTTGTCGTTCATTTTCACTTTTTATCTATTTTTTGAGAGAGGAAGAGCAAGAAATGACTCTGCCATATTTTAAAAAGGGAATGGAAAAAAATGTATGATGGGAGGGCCAAAAACGGTGGAACTCCGTCTTCCAAAGAAGTTCCAAAAATAATTCCAAAATCATCCAAAAATAAATTGAAAAAATATTAAAATGGTTCACCCTAGTCCCTATTCACCCTGAATTTCAAAATTTGACCTAGTGTCACTCGTCACAATTCCTTGCGGCATTGTAGCATAAATTTGATTATCTTCAGTAATAGATTCAATTGCAGCCAGCATCTTGTTTTCTTCCAAAGTCGGTGTCGCTTCACCCAAAATCAATGAGCGGATCCTATCCGCTTTTTTGAGAATTGCAAGTTGATCTTTTAACTCCGCACTTCTTAAAAAATTTGAAATCTCTTCATGTCAAGCAAAAGTAAGGTAAGCGTGGTTTCTAGCACGGCCAGTCAAAGTAATGCTTCCAACATCATTAATGAGTGCCGTCGCCAGCTCAGAAGGATTGACAAGCGGTTGATGGAAGTCCAAGGTCATATTCGCATCAATGACCTTGAAAATGCGAAGTTCAAGAATCAACATGAACTTCTACAAAAATTGGAAAGGCTGCGTTTATTGATTTTGGGTCAAGATTCTCCAACTCCTGAGGAAAAGTCTGTTTTGGCTGCTCTTGAATCATAAGTTTTTCATTGTTTTTAATTACAAAAAATTTTAAATTTCCAGTTCTGTCAAACGAGATGCCGGAAATTTAAAATTTTTTGTAATTAAAAACAATGAAAAACTTACGATTCAAGAGCAGCCAAAACAGACTTTTCCTCAGGAGTTGGAGAATCTTGACCCAAAATCAATAAACGCAGCCTTTCCAATTTTTGTAGAAGTTCATGTTGATTCTTGAACTTCGCATTTTCAAGGTCATTGATGCGAATATGACCTTGGACTTCCATCAACCGCTTGTCAATCCTTCTGAGCTGGCGACGGCACTCATTAATGATGTTGGAAGCATTACTTTGACTGGCCGTGCTAGCAACCACGCTTACCTTACTTTTGCTTGACATGAAGAGATTTCAAATTTTTTGAGAAGTGCGGAATAAAGACGTGGAGAATGCCAAGTTAAAAGATCAACTTGCAATTCTCAAGAAAGCGGATAGGATCCGCTCATTGATTTTGGGTGAAGCGACACCGACTTTGGAAGAAAACAAGATGCTAGCTGCAATTGAATCTATTACTGAAGATGGCGCGGCTAATCAAATTTATGCTACAATGCCGCAAGGAATTGTGACGAGTGACACTAGGTCAAATTTTAAAATTCAGGGTGAATAGGGACTAGGGTGAACCATTTTAATATTTTTTCAATTTATTTTTGAATGATTTTGGAATTATTTTTGGAACTTCTTTGGAAGACGGAATTCCACCGTTTTTGGCCCTTCCATCATACATTTTTTTCCATTCCCTTTTTAAAATATGGCAGAGTCCATTCCCAAAATAATTTTTGCAAACTCCGAAAAATAATTTCAAAAATCCTCCCAAAAATAAATTGAAAAAAGAGGAAGAAAATGAACCAAATTACAATATTTACCCCACAAAAATACTTAACTATATGTATAAATATATTTATTAAAATAAACCTCTCTTCTTTCTTTCAACTAGCAATTAATCTTTTAAGATTAGGAGGTAAAGAACTACAAATTTCCACAGCTTCTCTAAATGTATCCAATATAGTCAAAAAATTATCTTCACTTGTAACACATCTAGCAGTATTTTTAAAGTCAAAAGGTTCTTCAATAAAAATTTTGAAACGACGAGTATTTCGAGCAAGTTCACTCCTTTTAAAATTTTACAAATAAATTAATTGTAAAATTTGAACTTTTATTGGGGTCAATCCTGTAGACCTAAATTTTGAAAGAAAATATCTAGGGAATTAAGGAAAATAATACCCGGCTCTATGGCGATAAGTAGCCAGTTCTGTATTTTAGAACCTATAGTGTGGTATTGTGACTCCTTCAATCACACCAAATCCCTCGATGCCCCCTTAATCACACCAAATCCCTCGATATTCCCTTTCAAGTCTTGAGAGTCTATAGGTCTTGAGGGTTAATAAGAATTTAGAATGTATTAGGTCATCAGAGGTGGACTCTTATTTAAAAATTAAAAAAAACCTTGGATAAATACATCCTCTAGAAACAGAAATTGCATATTCATCAAAATTAAAATTATTATAATAATTAAAAAAGGCAATTAATAATTCTCCAATAGACAAAGTATTTTTAGGTATTTCTTTAAAAAAATTTTTATTTAATTTTAAAAAATTTAAAAAAACCTGGAAGAGGTTTAGGCAAATCCACAAAAAGTTGCATTTCATCCAACGCCCGGAAAAAGTGAAAATACTGAGGAAATAAAAATTGAAGATTTGGAAGAATTGGGACATTAATTCCACATTGAAGAAAGTGAAGGACCATAAGAATTAATGAATAACTAGAAAAAAAATTAAAATTAATTCATTAAATTCCTCAACTAAAAAATATCCAGAATTTTTAAAATAAAAAAATTAAAAAAAAACCTATTAAAATAACCAGAACAAGCATCCAATATTCCCTTTTTCTTTGCCCAATGTTTCACTATAAGGCACAAAGCTGGAAATCTATCGTCAATTCTAAAAAAATTTTTTTGTATAAAAATGATTTTTATATAATTTTAAAAATACTAAAAGAATTTCTTAATCAATTAAAAAATCTTTAATAATAAAAAACAACTAAATCTAAAAATATTGGAAGTCAAAGGAATCGAACCTCCATCATTTGCCCCTTACAGACAAACTCACTAACCACTACACCACCAAAGAATTTACCAGATTTTACTAATTAAACATTAAATACCCTAAAAACAAACAGAACTAAAAACTGGGAGCAACGTGAGGAATCGAACCACCCCCACAAATACAAGCCCAGTATCAACCAAACCATCGACCCAATTTCCCAATAATCAAATATTAAACACCCTATCAAAATTAAATTTAAAAAAAACCTTGAATAATAATGAATTAAATAAGAATTATAAATTCCAGGAACATTATTAATATTCATATCAACCTCCAATTTTTGATAAGGATGTTTAAATTTAATTTTTAAAATTGGAACTTTTGCAGGAACAAATAAAATATCATGAATTAAAGTTCTTTTAGTCAATAATTTTCTCATAACTTTTTTAAGACGATTAATTGCATAACTGAAAAATTAGAAAAATTAAATGAAAAATTTTTGGTGGATTAAAAATAATTTAAAGACATTTTATCCTATAAAGACATTTGATCCCATTTTTAAAAATTTTTTCAAAACAGACAACACTCCCCTTCCCAAATCCTTCTCTAATTCGAAAATCTTTTTTAATGTTAAAAAATCGGCTAAAACACCAAAAAATTTTTGAGAGGCTAAAAACAATTTCTAAGACATTTCATCCCATTGCAGACATTTAATCTCATTAAAAAAAATTTTTTTAAAAGGTGATACTTCCCTCTCCCTAAATCAAGTCACCATAAAAAAATTTAAATTTAAAAACAAACTTTCGCTGAGTTTCATATCCATCCATTCTACAAGGCATACACAAACACAGGTCCATATCTACAAAAAACATTAGAAAAATTTTTTTTAACTTAAAAAAAACCAGAATTGAAAGCTCCACATCCATTAACTGTAGACCCAACAGCAACTAAACTAATACTTTCACTTGGAAAAATCTTTAAAAAAATTTTTTTGAAAACAATTTGTCTAAATAAACCTGTTTAACAATATCCTCTAGCATACATTTAACACGCATTTTCCTAGAAAAAAAATTTAATTTTTTAATTAAAAAATATTTTTTTAAGCTGCTTTGGTATTTATTTTAAACCATATAGAATATTTAAAGAAAAAATTTCAAAAATAAATTTTTTCAAAAATTTTTTTTTGAAAAGACAGACATTTTATCCCATTTTTAATTTTTAAAAATATTTTTTCCAGAAAAAATATTTTTCCAAAAAAATTTTTAAAGTAAAAAGACAAGCAAATTTAAGGACAAGCTCTCCAAAAAAATTTTTTTTGAAAAAATTAAAAAATAAATACTAAAAATCAAACCAAGTATAAGTATGATCATTCTAAAAATATTATTTTAAAAATAAAAATAAAAAAAAAATTAAAAAAACCTGCAAATTTTCGGTAAAATGTGTCCATATATTTCTATTAAAATTGTCAAATTCATTTTTGTATTTATTCATATAATTTGAAATTTTTTCAAAAAATACTTGATTTGGGTATAACGTTATTCCAAAATTTTCTTCCTGAAAAAATTTTTTTAATTCAAAAAAAAAATTTTTAAACTTACAATATCATTTCTAACTTGATCTTGAGCATTTTTAATAATTCTAGGAGGTCTTTTAAGCGTATTTTTGGAAAAAGTGAAAGAATCATCAGAATCGTCATTATCTTGAGCATTTTCCTTAAGAAAAAAAATTTTTTTTGAAAATATTTTTAAGGACGTAAAAAAATTTCAAAAACATTATTTTGGTGGAATAATAGCACAAAGAATCGGTTATGTCCGGACCGAGACCTTATCACGAATAGAGGTTATTGAGGTCAATATATTTCGAAATAGATCGTACCCCCAATCAGGTCTCTAATTTCAGTTCTTGGTTGATACACAAATAAAAAAAGGATAAGTTCAAAAATAGGATGTGCTCGGGTCGAAGAGCCTTGCTTTGGAAGCTAGAACTTACAAAAAAATAAAAAACCCCCAAAAATTAGTTAAAACCCTTCTAAAAATTCTAATAAAATTTAAAAAATTCACAAACCTTTTTCAAATTTTTCTCAGCAATAGATTCAAACAAAACAACAAAATCCAAATCATCATCAGAAAATGAAGTTCTATTTTGACCTTTATTTTTATCATTTTTAACAACCAAATTCTTTTCAATTTTAATTTCATTTCTTTCAGTTTTTTCAACTTTATTTTCTTCTTTTTTGGAGGTTTGTGGAGATAATAAAGGAGGAAATACTTGATTTAAATCTTCACCATCAGAAACATCAATTTCTATCAAATCTGAACTTGTTGAAGTTGTTGTTGTTGAAGATATTCTTTTACGTTTTTTAGCTTTGACTTTGTTGTTTTTCAAAATTTTCTTTCTAAATAAAATTTATAAAAATTTTAAAAATTAAAAGGCTAGCCAAAATATGCATGGAAGATCGTCAAATTTGCGCCTATATAAAATATAAACCAAAATATGCATTAAGAACCGGGCCCTAATTAAGCTCTGACCAACGCAAAAAACACAATTGGTAGTACTTTGGAAATCCCCCACTTTTTTCGCCGTTACTCTGACCATTAAAGAAAAAAGGTGGAGAGGGTGACTTTCCAGTATTGCCACGTCATTTTTGGGCTCCTACCTTAAGAATATTCAAATATAAGACTAGCATGTTTTGGCTAACCCTAATAATTTAAAAAAATCGAACCTTTTAGTCCCTTCACCTCTTTTAGCATTTAAAATTTTCTCTTCAGAATTTTCACCCATAGGCCCATACATTTGCGTAAACCAATCATCCGAAGGAATGCTGAAAAAAATGAAAGATTTAAATAAGTGAAAATTTTGGTGATTTGAAATGTCAAACTGTACAATAGACTTGAACAACTGATTATCAAGGGGCTGGGCAAAACATTCATAAAACGTGAGGGAAACTATAAATCGATTTATAAGATAGACTAGAATCAAGTAACGACACCCAAAATCCGAAACCAGGCCCTTTATCAATCCTAAATCTGAAACCCGACCCGATGAACACTTCGAAAAACCGATAAGAAAAAAACACGACTTTCTTCAACAATTAACCAATCCCCCCATCCAGAACAGTTTAAAATAAAAACTAAACTAACCTCACAACTTCAACACCTTTATTATTATTGTTTGTTTTACTTGAACAAGCAGCAACCTTCTTGTTTGAACCACCACTACTTCCAATACCACTATCTTGCAATTCCTTCTTTACTGACGTCATAATTTTAAGGGAAAATAAATAAAAACAAGCTACAATAAATTCTAAAATTAATTAAAAAATAAAAAAGATAAATTTAAGAAAATTAAATATTCATAAAAAATCAAATGGAAATTTAATTAAAAAATATTTATTTACAAAAAAAGTCTCAACAAAAATGATCACATAAATAAAACAAAGAATTATTTTGTTGTTGTTTTTCATTTTTAACCCAACTTAAACCACTTTTAATTGGATGTTTTCTCCAATTAAATTTTTTATTTTCCGGCAATTCACTCTTCCCAAGTAAATATTGTCTATAAGGCTCCATTTCAACATCATCCCATGGGGTAAATCTTAAAAAATAAATTTTTATTTGGATGGATTATTGAAAGGCTTCATCTGGGATTTTAAAAGATTTAAAGAAATCATGATGGAAAAATCATCAGAGAAAAAGACTGAAGGACCTCCTAAAAATTGAAAGAAGGAATCGACCAACCCCTCAACGGAAACCCAAAAGATACCGATCATCCCAAAACATTAAAAGAGAAAACAACGAAAAATAGTTCCTATAACGAAGGAACAAACAAAATTATCCAACGACGGCCAAGATTTAAACCAAGGAACCAAATAAAATGGTTCTTTTACGAGGGAAACCAAAGCAACCTACAACCAGAAAACCAAAGAAAGAATTTTTCCCAGCCTATGTTAATAAAAAACGTGTCATTAACAATCTCACTGAAAACTCCCCAAAAAATAAAAAAAAACCTTATAGCATTTTGATCATCAGAGGAAGGCAATGCATAAATTTGAGTTCGACTTCTTCTACAAAAGAATTTAAAAATAAAATTAGAAAAAATAAAAAAAGAACCTAACAGCATTATGAGCTAATTGAACAAATTTTGACCTATTTTCTTTTAATAAAATGGAAGCTTCAGGGTTTGCAGCTTGGGAAGGTTCACATTGACAGCGGAAGAATATTCCCTTAAAAACATTTTTGAACCAGAAAATTTTTTTTTAAAAACCTGAGTTGCTGTAATAACTTGATAAATATGATTTCTGTCTCTTTGCCAACCACTAGGAAAAAATCTGGTTAAATCCACACAATTGTTTTTTGGATTAATAAGTGGATGGAACAAGGATTCTTCAAATTGAACAATCTAAAAAAACTTTAAAAAAAGTTGGAGAAAAGTTATCTTTATGGGCCTCATGCTTCACCTTTAAAACTTTTGGAAGCTTCATTGTTTCGTGATTTAGGGAAAATTTTCCATTCTTCTTTGCTCGCTATAAAAAAGAATGACTACTTTTCCCGTTTATTTGGTTTTGTAATAAAATCTTGGTCAGAGTCTTGGAAAAATTTCAGTCTTTGACATACCTTGGGAAGTTAAAAGAAGAAAAATAAAGACCTCACCTAGGGAGCTTAAAATAAAAACAAATTAGAAAACTAACCGGAATTTCATTTGTGTCAGGAAATTCTTCAGGAATTGTTATTGTAAAACGAAATAATCCTCCATAAAATATTCCTGTTCGAACAACTAAAAGTCCAAACCAAACGAGTGGGGATTCAGCACCAGGTGTGACATAAACACCTTCAATAAAGTTTTTGACAACAGCATCACTAAAATAAAAATACTCAAAAATGGTAAATTAAGAGGGTCGAAAGGTGGTAATTCAGCCAACGGAAATCAACAACTCATGGGAAAAACTTCATTCGAAGTAGTAAGAATCTAAAAATTTAATTTGAAAAACCCAAAGGTATCACTGTGACATTTCCCTAATAAAAACGTAACGTTCAGTAAGAGAGGTAAAGGTTCTGTTTCGGGGCAGGCATATAACCAACGACCTCCTGGCCTCGCTTACCAAGTATAAGCGCTAATCGAAATAGCTGCTTGGATTCTCCCACTTTTCTCTTTTAATATTGCCTAAATCACGCCTAGTAAGGGTTTTAAACGCTAGCCAGTAGAACCCTTCTCTCCCCCAACATTTAAAACTAAAAAAACAAAACAAACTATTCTCTGTAAATACAATGCAACCGTTCTTGTTTCAATGTAACACAAGGAAAAGAAGCATCTGAATCACAAATTGGAAGATTCTTGCTAAAAGATTCATCTTGTATAGGGGTAGAATCAACAAAAGTGGAAGTACTAGCATCCTCATTATTTGGCGTCAAAACATGTGAAACGTTGCCATTTTCTTCTGTAAATTTAACGCTTTCCAAGGACGGCATAAGGAATCTGAAACCTGGAAGAATAAAATAGGGTTTGACCCCGAATCCTGAGGGCACGTTTTTCTGAGTGCGTTGGAGTATGACTGACAATAAATTGTGATTGTTATTCTGTCAGTCATCCTCCAAAGGCCATCGGGGTCAAACCCTAGAATAAAATCATAGTTAGTCAGTCCTAAGAAAGTAGAAAAAAGTAAAAAAAAACCCTCCGCAAAAAAAAATTTTTTTTTTGAAAAACTTGTGACGATGAAACTCCGACTTTGAAGCGACCTTTTAAATAAAATACATAATGCCAAAAGAAAATTTTTTTAATTTTAATAGAGAGCAGTTGAGTCTTAACGGCCAATGCCATTTTCAACTAAAAAATTTCTTTAAATATTTCTGATTTTTTAATTTTTTCACATTTCAGTGAATTTTATTTTCAAATCTTCCGTGTTATCAAATGCTTTCTCGAGCTTCTATTCCGCTTTATATAGCAAAAAGGTTTGAGTTTTTTTTCCCTTTAAAGCTTCATCTTTTCCAATATTTTTAAGAAGCAAAGCGACGAGTTATCAATATGCTGTTCATCCCGTAACTGGTAAAAAGCCTCCAACATTGGAAGAATTTGACCCGCTCAATCCGGGAGAATGGCAAATTGGGGTATTTTTAAAAGTTTAATTTTGCGGATTTTTTTTGCGGACATTTTTACGGATTTCCGCAAAAAATGTTTTTTTCACATTTAGACCATTTTTCTCCTCAATATATTTTTTACCTTTTTTCAGGTCGCAGGCAAAATTCTTCCTCGTCTTCCAGAAGGTACTCGTTGTGGAGAATTGGTTATGGGAAAGTATGGACTTTATGATCCCAAAATTAGAAAGCTTCAGGACGAGCTTTGGGTATTTTCTTAAAAATTCTTTTTTAATTTTATCAAAATCTTTTTTAAAGGAAGGCACTGCTGGAGGAACTCTTCCAACAGAAACAGCAAATTATCCGTTGACTGTGGGTCGAAATATTGTTTTTGGTATGGCCTGTTGTAGTGTTCTCATGATCCTTTATTCTATGGCTACTTTTTTGTTTGCGACTAAGGAGAAACCTCTTTGGCCTTACAAGCCGCGTGTGCAGCCTGAATGAGTTGGAATAAGTCGAAAGAGGAAGAAAATGTAAAGGGAAGATAATATAGTTAATTTAGGGATTAAATATATGAAAAGAAATTTTTGCGGATTTTGAGTATTTTTTTTTTGAAAAAATATTTCTCTTGTCTAGTGTTGTTTTATCGTAAATTTATTTAAAGTATAAATGTGTGTTTTTGTTAAGCTTTTTTTCTTTTATTTGGTTACATCCTTTTAAATAATACCTTTATTTTTGAAATTTGGCATTTCTCGGTTATCCCCTGTAACTTGCGGACAAATATTTGCGGATTTCTTTATCCATAGTTTCATAGGATTCTTCCCTTATTTTTCCTAGATCCTGTACTGGTAAGAAGCCTATAACTGGTAAGAAGCCTTTTCCCTATGAACACGGTTAGCCAATAGGTCTCCAAAAATAAGAGGGATGACCTAGCAATGCCATGAATTTTTCGAGTTATAAAATTTTTAAAAAATTTTTTTTTGTAGAAAATGGTTAATGTTACTGCATTTTTGCTTGTTATAATGTTTGGATCGAGGCATTTTCTTTTTAAATTTATTTTTCTAAAATTAAAAAATTCTCATTTTTCAGTACATGGCTAACCATAAATGCGATTTGGGTCGAGTTGTCGTTATATACCAGTCGTTTGCCCGAAGGATGGTCTCTTCCCTCATATCTTTCTTTGATTATACAGGTTCTTTTTTTAAATTTTCGTTACTTATCGGTTATCTTAAAATAGTTTTGTGGGCTCATTTTTGCACGGAATAGTCAAAGCTTCTTCCGTCCAACAAAGCAAGAAGGTCCTTCCTTCTATTGGTAATCCACTGAAACTTGCGGACTCAATTTTCCTCGTGGCTTCATTCAAGGAGAGCACAGGAAAAATTGAGAAAATCGAGGAAGAAAGAATCTTTGACTATTCCGTGCAAAAATGAGTCTGCCTAAGATGTCCGCACAAACTACTTTGGGATAACCAATAAGTACCAAAATTTTTTTATTTTTCTTAAATTAATTCCTCCCACAGGCAGCCTGTCTTCTAACTCTAATTTACTCTGTCGGGCACAGATATACTCGTTTTAATACAAACAAGGCACCTTTAATTCTTTCATTGTTAATTTTTGGCTCAATTTGTATGCTTTTATTGGCACTTTTTTGGCAAGAAACTTTTTGGTTGTTTAATTCTGAACATTCTGTTGCTCTTATTTCTCTTACTTTTTGTATGGCTTTGGTATTTTTTTTTAATTTTTTGACCTTTAAAAATTTTTTTCCTTTGTAAAGGTTTGTGCTTCCTCCAATCTTTTCTTTATGCCCTACATGGCTGATTTTCACAATTCTTATATGAGTGCCTACTTTCTTGGAATGAGCTTCAGTTCTTTTATTCCGAGTTTATTCAAGCTTGTACAAGGTTATTTTTTAGTTAAAATATTTGCGGACGGGTATTTGCGGACATACCCAAGGTAAATAAAAATGTCCGCAAGTATTTGCGGACAAAAATGTTTACGGAAAATGTCCGCAAATGTCGCTTTAATTTAAAATTGGCATATTTGCGGACAGTCCGCAAGATATTTGCGGACAAAACCTACTCCTATTGAAAATGTCCGCAAATGTCTGTTCACAAATGTCGCTTACATTAAAAAAACTTGTTTAATTTAGGAGTAGGAAAATACAATTGTGTAGAACATTTATTGCCCAACGGAACATTACAACTAAAAGCAATCCCAACAGAACCTCTCTTCTCTATAAAAATTTACAATTCTCTAATATTTGTTTGGATGAGTGTTGCTACACTTGCTTTTGCTATTTTACATTGGAAATTTGAACATGCAAAAGAAAATAAGAAAGTTAAAGAAACAAAACAAATTGTTGGTGAAAATGCTTTTGCTGAAGTTGTTAGAGAACAAATTGATGAAAATAATGTTGGTGTTGTTGTTGCAGACGAACAGAGTCCTCTTAATGTAAGAGATATAGAAACATAAAAACAATCGGAAAAACATGTTTGTTTTGTTTTAGTAAAACAAGGGAAATGTTGTTTGCGAACAAAACAAAAATTCAGTAAAAACAAGTTTTCTTCCAAACAAGAAAAACAAACTTGTTTTTCTCTTTTTTCTAATTAAAAACTTGTGGTTTGTTGTGAAGCGTGTTTTTGTTGTAAACTTGTTTTGTTATTTTGTTTGTTTTGTTGGGCTTGTTTTGTTGGTAAGCGTGTTTTTATGTAAGCATGTTTATGGGAAACATGTTTTGTTGTGAAACATGTTTTGTTGTGAACTTGTTTTGTTATGTTGTTTGTTTTGCTGGGCTTGTTTTGTTGTGAAGATTGTTTTTGTTGTAAACTTGTTTTGTTGTGAAACTTGTTTTTATGTAAACATGTTTGTTGAAAACATGTTTTTGAGAACCTCAACATGTTTATCAGAAACATGTTTTTACAACGCAAAACATGTTTTTATAGGAAACATGGCGTTGTAAAAACATGTTTTTATTAAATTTAAAAACATTTTATAGTCTAATAATAATGTTGTGAAAGAAAACAATGGAATAATAAAATTGCAGAACAATAATAATGGTAGAGGAATGCGTTATTGGATGTTAATTTTAATGTTAACTTTAATTTCTGCACAAATGAATACAATAATTCCTTCAATTCAGAGTTATGCTACTCTTGCATATTCTATGGTTTTTTTTTAATTTTTTTTAGAATTTTTCAAAAATTTTTTTTTGAAATTTTCAAAATTTTTTTTTCTAGAATTTTCAATTAAAAATTTTTTTTAGAATTTTCAAAAAAATTTTTTTTAAATTTTCAAATATTTTTTAAAATTCTCTAGATCACCTATCATCTGGCTTTAACACTTTCTAATATTTCCCACCCTCCAGCCAATTTTTTGCCAATTTGGTGCAAACCTCGTTCATTATCTATTATCTTCATTTTAACTTTTATTTGTACAGGTTCTGATTTTAAATTAAAAAAAATTAAAAAAAAATTTATTTTTAATTTAACAGCCAGTACTATATTTATTTTTATTTTGGCACTTCAAAGTCCAGAACCAATGCTTCGAAATTCTTTCCCATTTATGGGAAGTCTCCTTTCGGTTTTTTTTAATTTTTAAATTAAACTAATTTATTTTTTAAAGGTGTCTGCATCCGTTTTGGCAGGATTTTTATGTTCATATTTACGTACATTAATTACTGGATTGGTTAGAAGTGAACAAGCAAACAGTGAAAAAGCTCTTTTTTGGTGTGGATTTTTTATGCAGGTTATTTTAAATTTAATAAATGAATTTTTGGGGAATTTTTGGGGATTCTTATGAAATTTTTTGGATTTTTGAGGAATTTTAGGAGATGTTTATTTTTATTCCGACGATTTTTAATTTTTCTAAAAAAATTTTTTTTTATTTTTTTTCTGATTTCTCCCTCTTTTTTCCCTTACCTTTTAGATCTCCTTTTCTTAAAAAAATTTTTTTTTCCAAATTAAAATTCCTAGATTGGCTCTGTCATTGGGGCATGTGCAATGTTTCCTCTAGTCAATTACTACAACATTTTTAAAAAGAGAGATCCTTGTATTTTTTAAAAATTTATTAAAATTTGTAGAAATTTTCTTTTTTTTAATCCTAAAATATATATCTTTTTTGTGCCATTAATTAATTTTTTTAAAAATACATTCCTATTTTTAAAAGTTTTTTTTTTCAGATTTTAAAATAAAATTACATAAAAATTATATAAAAATTATATATTTTTTTATATGAGGTGTACTTTTTGTTTAGTGAAGAATCGTTCAAAATCTGTTGAAGTGAGATAACCTTTTTGTTCACTGTCCAACTCCTTAAAGAATGTTTATTGTTTGTTTGAAAATGTTTTTATATGTTTTTAGAAGTTTAGTGGGGGTTTAAATGTTTGTGAAAATGTTTGTGTTTTGTTGTTTGCAAGTGTTTTGAAGTTTGGATGGAAGAAATGTTTTTATGTGTTTTTAAATGTTTTTGAGAGGATGTTTTAATTAAAATGTTTTTGTTAAATTAAATGTTTGTTTGAATGTTTGTTTGCTAAAACAAACAAGTTTATTTCAAAACAAGTTTATTTTGTTTAAATAAACTTAGTTTCGAACATGTTAAATAAACTTGTTTTTGAACTAACCTCAAACAGAAAGAATGCCCTTCTGTTTATTGCCCTACTAAATTCATGATCAGGAGAAGAGGATTCTCTTTTTGAATTGCCAACAAAAGGAACAAAACTAGCAATTGCTGGGGCTGCTGTAGGTGTTGTTACGGCCGATGCTAGTAATGCCTTAAAAGTATTTTTAAAACATTTTCAAAAACATTTTGAAGAACAAGTTTATTTTAAAAACATTCTCAAAAACATGTCTAAAACATGTTAGAACAAAAACTTGTTTAAAAACATGTTTTAATTTTTAATGTTTTTACCGCTGTTTTGAATGTTGTTGGTGGGCGTGGTGAATGTTGTAATGATTGTTTTTGTTTATTTTCCAAACGAACATTACTACTAGCTAACGAACAATCTTCAGCCATTGTTGCGCGTCGAATAGATGTTTGCATTCTTTTAAGTTCGTTTTGTTCGCTTTTTCCGCGCAGAGTAAACACGGATTTAATAAATTCCAAAAAATCCTTTAAAAAATTTTAATTTTTTTAAATTTTTTTTCTCACTTTATAACTAATTTGTCCATTATTATTAACATTTCTATTAATTAATCTCATAATCCATTCAGCATTAGATTCTGGACTTTCATCACAAATTTTAGATAAAGTTACAACCATATCCTTTAAATAATTTTTATTTTTTTTCAAAAAAAAATTTTTTTTTACTTTAAACGACAATTGTTCTTGATGAGTTCGGCAAAAAGCATGAAACACTCGTTCCAAATAGTTGTCCTTGGAAAAAAATTTTTTTTAATAAAAAAAGACATTTATCTCTTTTTACGTTCAATCTATCAGGAAGGAATCCTCCAAAAAGACGTCGAAATTCTGTAAAGTGCATTCTTCCAGTTGGGCATTCCTTTTTAAAAATTGGAAAGATTAATTTATTAAAAAAATTTTTTTTCGATACATTTTTAAATCGATTGTAGGTATATTTGAGCCATCTCAAAGAAAAACGATTTCCTGTCAATTGTTGTAATTGTTCTAAACTGGGAGGTTTTTCAGGCGGCTCAATTCTGGTTAAATCATCCAAACTAACAGTGTCCATAACTATAAAGAGAAAAACACGTGTTTTAAAATGTTTGTTTGTTTGGAATTCTGATTTATTAAAAGTTTCTTGTTTTGTTGTTTTTAAATTCTGATTTTTTAAACTTAAGTTTTAAAGTTGTAAGTGTATTTAAACATGTTTAGATTTTATTCTGGTTTTACTGTAAATGTTTGTTTTATGTTTTACAACAAGTTTTATTTTTAAGAATGTTTTTAAGTTTGAACTAGGTTTTAATTAAAGTTTCAAGTTTAAACTTAAGTTTTAATTTAAGTTTAATAATGTTTTTAAGTGTGAACTTAAGTTTTACTCAAATTTAGTTAAGTTTAAACTTAAGTTATTTTATTTTAAATGTTTTTAAGTGTGAACTTAAGTTTTATTAATTTTAATCAAGTTTAAGCTTAAAAAATAAAAAGCTTATATTATGTCACTTAAATACGCGCATGTATAGAATAAATTGAGTAAAATGTGAAACTGAGAATGGAAATTCTTAAAGTGACAGGAAGTGAATATATACATACTTAGTTTAGTTATATCTAGAGTAAGCAAAAAGTCCCATTATTGCCTCTGGCTTCTTTTCTTTTTTCCTACCAGCCGCACTTTGCTTTTCAAAGCCTTAAAAGTTCCTTCCTGCTTTCTCCCATCTATTTTTCCCTCATGTATTTATTTTTTTCTTTTCCGGAAAGGGAGTTTGGCAAACAAAAAATGAAATTTTTAAAAGGAAATTTTATTCTTTTTTAGTTAGTTTTTATATTTCTAATAGAAAAAAATAACGTTAATGAGTCCCCAAAGGAGAGATAAAAAGAAGGAAAAAAATTAAAGGGATATTAGTAGAAAAAAGAAATAATGTTGAATAGAGACAATTAAACAACTGGCAACAATTAAATATTATTTTAGGTTAATTGAGAAAAATCTGATTAATGTTAGGTTAAATTATAAATCAATTGTTCTGATTAATTAATTAAATCTATTAAAAAAATTCTGGTCTGTAATTCTAATTTATTAATATTTAAAAGATTTTCTGGTTTTGTTGTTTTTAAATTCTGGTTTTTTTAATCTTAAGTTTTAAGTTGTAATTTGAATAAATATGTTTATATTTTATTCTGGTTTCAAGTTTATGTTTTTAAGTTTTGTTTTTAAGTTTATGTTTTTCTGATTTGTTGTTCTTAAATTCTGGTTTTATTTGTTGTTTTTAAATTCTGTTTCTAAAGTTTTAAGCTTATAATGAATTAAATATGTTTATATTTTATTCTGGTTTTATTTTTGTTTTTCTTTTGTGTTTTTCTGATTTGTTGTTTTTAAATTCTGGTTTCTAATTTTGTTTCTCGTGTTTATGTTTTTTCTATTTTAACAAGCTATGCTTAGTAAAATAAATGTTTTTAATGTTTTTAACATTTATATATTTATAGCTTACGTAAAGCAGACGGAAGGGCGGAAGATGAGTGCATGAATGAAATCTGATCTGTTACTTAAATGCGCGTAACAAAAAAAATAAAAAAATGACAAATATAAGTAACAAATAAATAAAAGTTTAAGAAAATAAAAGTAAGGATTTTTATTTTAGTTTTTTTTTGCAAAAAAAATTTTTTTTAATTCCTCATGCTTTTCCTTAACCTTTTATCTTCAAGCTTTTTTTTCAACATTATTAATTACTTTGCCCTTTTTTTATTTTAAAAATTGGATTACCCATCAATCTAGCTAAATAAATTTTTATTTTTAACACTTAAAGGCTTGAACTTTTTTTTAATTAACCCAAAATATCGACTTTGGGGAGCTTTAAAAATCAGTGGAAGCTCTTTCTTCCCTCTAATCTTTTTATTTTTGATATTTTGGGTGTTAGAAAAAAAATTTTTTTTGGGTTTAACCCTTTTCTTCTTTCATTAATTTTTAACTAAAATTCTTTAAATAAAAATTGAACGTGAAAATCAAGAAAGAAAAGAAAAAATAAAATAAATGGATGTTACTTTGAGAGAAAAAATGTTTTAAAAATAAAAATAAAATAATTATAAATTTATTACTTTCTTTTTACCTTTAATATCCGTTTTTAATCCATTTTATTTAATACCCAATCTTAATTTAGCTAGTTATAAATAGATATATTTTTTAACTCAAGCTTAGTCAGTAACAATTTCAAGTTTTATTGGGGTTTTCTGGGAGAATGTTTTTATTTAATTCTGATTTTTATTTATCTAAATTCTCGATGTTTTAATTTTATTCTGATTTTTATGAAACATTGTTTTTGTTTAATTCTGATTTTGTTTTGTTCTGATTTTATTCAACTTTCAATGTTTTTATTTAGTTCTGATTTTATTAAACTCTTAATGTTTTTATCAGATTCTGATTTTTTTAAACAATGTTTTTATTAAATTCTGATCCTATATTTAAACACACTAATTTCCTACGCAGTTCCTTAAATAATTTTTAAATTTCAAAGATCAGCAAAATTTTTTTCAAAAATTAAAAAAATATAAAACCTTCAAAAATCATATTTCAATTTAAATCTATTTTTAATAATTATTTATAATTTCCCTTGATTTAATCTTTAAACACCTAATAATCTTTTTATAAACTGTCTGGAAGGGTTTGTATTTCATCTATTTTTGAATATTTGTTTGATTTTAATTCTGATTTTTTCAGAATGTTTTTATAGTTGTTTTAATCTGTGGTTTGTTTGTGGTCGTGTTTGAATGTTTAATAAACATTTGTTCTTCGAAAAGTTGAATGTTTGGGTGTTTTTCTTTGTTTTTGTGTTTCACTTTTGTTTAATTCTGGTTTACATGAGGCGTTGTTTTTATTTAATTCTGATTTTTCCGGAACCAAAAACAAACAATTCGTTTTCCGGAAATGTTTTACATGCATAAAAACAAATTGTTTAAATCGCTAACAACCCTTCCCCCTTCCCTAATGCCAAAAATATATTAATTTTTTTTTATTTTTTCCTCAACTTCCGAGTCCTCAAAACATCTGTTGTTCTTTTTTCTCTACAAAAAAAAGATTTAAAAATATCCTTTTTCCAAAAAAATTATTTGACGTTGAAAAATCACTCAAAAAAGGCTTCCGATCATTTTTATATTTTTCTTTATTTATTTTTCTTTTTTTATTTACTGCCTTGCCCACCCGCATTTTTTTTTCTAGCTTGCTTTCCCCCTCATTTATAAGTTTAGGAACCTTGACGCAAACAATTATTTCCTCTTTTTTTCTTTTAAAAATTCAAAAATTGAAAAAATTTTTTTAAAGGTTACTATTAAATAGAGAATTAAATTTACTGCTAAAATCAGCTAAAAATAAAAATTTTATAAAAATTTATTTTAAAAAATATCCAAAAAAATTAACGAAAATGAAGGGTTTTGGGCATTTCTCGACCTTTTTTGAACATATTTTTTTTATTAAAAAAATTTTTTTCTTTTTTTAATTAATAGAGAATTTAATTACCTATTTATTGATACCAAATTTATTTTATCAAGTTTACCCATTCATGAGTTATAAATCCTAGACTAAACCAATAGTCAATTTTTTACTCCCCTCAACTATTTACTAAAACACTCATTTTCTTCTGACGCAAACTTGAAAAGCTTTATGTGCTTTACCTCTCTTTTCTTTCGCTTTGTCGCCACATTTTTTTGTTTGAATGTTTTTAGCTAAAATTCTGACCTGTTCATTTCTCTTTTTATTTTTACCTTTATTTTACCTATTTTAAAATTATTTCCAAAAATTTTTTAAAAATTTTTAAAATTTTTAAAGGATTTTTTAAATAAATTTAATTTATTTTAAATGGGAACAAATGGAAATAGTTTTTATTCAAAACAACAAATAAATAGTAATAACAATGCTTTTTTGTTTATGGAAGGTTTGTTGGAATTTCTTAGAAACATTAAAAACAAGTTTAATAAGAACAAGTTTTAATAAAAAAAAGTTTTAATAAAACCAACTTGTTTTAAATAAACTTGTTTTCTTGTAATTTGTTTTGATGAACATGTTTTTAAAGTAAAAATAAACTTGTTTTTTCGCAAACATTAAAAATGTTTCTCACAAACATGTTTACAAACAAATATATAAAAACATGTTTTATTCTAAATAAACATGTTTTTCTTAATAATAAACAATGTTTACTAAAATGTTTCTAAACATGTTTTTTCTAGACCAATCCCTCTCAGCAACAACAGCAACATCTCCATTTCCCCAAACATTTTTAACCTCAACTAATATAGCAACAACACCATTACATAGGGTTTATTCGGCAGGTTTAGTTGAAGAGCCTACTTCAACTACTGGAGAGGTTCCAGAGGAATGGAATAGTACTAATCAAAGCCTCGGGTTGGATGATTTGAGAGTACACGAATTAAAGGTATAAATTTTGTTTTTATTTCTGGGCTTCAAAAATTGATAAAAACATGTTTAAATAAAATAAACATGTTTTTAGTAAAAAGCAAACTTGTTTTATTTTAATAAACTTGTTTTTGAACATGTTTTTCTAAAAAATGTATTGTTGTTGTAAATAAACTTGTTTTGATAAAAAATAAACTTGTTTTTAGAGTAGAAATAAACTTGTTTTTCGTCGCAAACATTAAACATGTTTCTCACAAACAAGTTTAATAAAAACATAGAAAAACAAGTTTTGTTCTAAATAAACATGTTTTTATGGAAAGAATAAACTTGTTTTTGTTTTTCTAATTGTTTCTCATAAACAATAATAAATAAACAACACCTAATAAAAACAAGTTTTGACTCAAACAAGGGCCCAAAAATGTATACAAATGTCGCCCCTCTAAAAATAAATAAGAAAAAAATTTTTTAAATAAAAATTCCCAGACAGACTGCTGTTTAAAGTAAATTTGTGTGTGATTTATATTCTTTTTATTTTTTTCTAGACTGAATGTAAAAAGAGAGGATTGGCTGTTTCTGGATCTAAACAAGCGTTGATTGACCGGCTTCAACCTTTTGAGCATTCAATAATTTTGCAGCAACAAAGGGAGTCTTTGCTTATATTTAATGAAGGAATTGTGTTAAAAAAGAAGAAAAAGAACGTTAATAATGGTGTTGTTGTTGACTCGTCTCCAGCTTTGTTTTCTTCTAATTCTTCTTGTTTGGGGGGAGAAAGTGGCGGCGGCTGTTGTTCCTCTCCTTCTGTTATTGATGCGGTTGGTAGTAAAATAAATAAAAATAAAAGGGGGAAGGGGGATATTAAAAAAATTTTTTTGGAACAAGAAAAATTTTTTTTGGAAGAAAAAAAATTTTTTCTTTGAAAGAAAAAAAAATTTTTTTAAAGGTAATTGACTCAGTCATCGATGGAAGAAATGGATACACTGAAGCAACAACAAATTTAAAAATTAATTCAAGACTAAAAAATAATAACAAAAACATTAATAAACAAAAAAGAATTGGTAGAACAAACAACAAAACAACGAACATGTTTTTCAGTAAAAGTTGGAAACCAGTGTTTTTGGGAAACTTTAATAAAAATGTTGGGTGTAAATGTTGTTCGTGTGGGCATAATAATAATAATGTTTATCTGAACAACAAAAACATGGAAAACATTGAAATAAGGGGAAACAATGAACAACAATGTTTGTTGGAGGAAGAGAAGAGAGTAGAGGAGGGAGATGATAAAATTGTAGAAGAGTTAAAAGAGGTTGGAGATGAAGAAGGAAAGGAGGAAGGGAGAGAAGATGTTGATGAAAAACAAAATGTTTCTCCGACAATAGAAAAAACATTTAGTTTTGCTACAATGGGATCTGGAGGACAAGTTTGTTTTGTTTTAAAAACATTAAACAAAACAAGTTTGTTTTGTTTTTATTAAACATTAAACAAAACAAGTTTGTTTTGTTTTTATTAAACATTAAACAAAACAAGTTTGTTTTGTTTCTAAGATTGAACAAAACAAGTTTGTTTTGTTTTTAAAAAACATTAAAAAAACAAGTTTGTTTTGTTTCTAAAAGATTGAACAAAACAAGTTTGTTTTGTTTTTAAAAAACATTAAACAAAACAAGTTTGTTTTGTTTTTATTAAACATTAAACAAAACAAGTTTGTTTTGTTTCTAAGATTGAACAAAACAAGTTTGTTTTGTTTTTAAAAAACATTAAAAAAACAAGTTTGTTTTGTTTCTAAAAGATTGAACAAAACAAGTTTGTTTTGTTTTTAAAAAACATTAAACAAAACAAGTTTGTTTTGTTTTTATTAAACATTAAACAAAACAAGTTTGTTTTGTTTTTATTAAACATTAAACAAAACAAGTTTGTTTTGTTTCTAAGATTGAACAAAACAAGTTTGTTTTGTTTTTAAAAAACATTAAAAAAACAAGTTTGTTTTGTTTCTAAAAGATTGAACAAAACAAGTTTGTTTTGTTTTTAAAAAACATTAAACAAAACAAGTTTGTTTTGTTTTTATTAAACATTAAACAAAACAAGTTTGTTTTGTTTTTATTAAACATTAAACAAAACAAGTTTGTTTTGTTTCTAAGATTGAACAAAACAAGTTTGTTTTGTTTTTAAAAAACATTAAAAAAACAAGTTTGTTTTGTTTCTAAAAGATTGAACAAAACAAGTTTGTTTTGTTTTTAAAAAACATTAAACAAAACAAGTTTGTTTTGTTTTTATTAAACATTAAACAAAACAAGTTTGTTTTGTTTCTAAGATTGAACAAAACAAGTTTGTTTTGTTTTTAAAAAACATTAAAAAAACAAGTTTGTTTTGTTTCTAAAAGATTGAACAAAACAAGTTTGTTTTGTTTTTAAAAAACATTAAACAAAACAAGTTTTTAAAAACAAGTTTTAATTTTTAGTTTACACCATTAGAACCTGCTGATATCAGTATTGTTATTTCTGAAGAAAATAAAACTTGTTGTAAAGAGGAAAAACAACTTGACAAAGAACAACAAAAACAACAACAAATCAACTCAAAAACATTTTTAGAACCTCCCCAAACTTTAATAAAACAACAACAAAAGTTTAGTACAAATAAATGTTGTAATTATCAACAACAACTTTGTTGTTGTTCGCCTTTTCAAATGTTGTCGTCTCATTCCTCTCCATGTTCAGATGTTTGTTGTTCGGATGTTTGTGTTCCAAGTTTTAATAAAAACAATGTTGTTGGAGAAGAAATAATACCAGAACAACAACAAAAACATTTAAATGAACAAAACATATTTCAACAAAAACATCAACAACAACAACATGTTTCGATTAGAGAAAATGAAAACAACAACATAAACAACGCAATAAACTGTTGTTGTTGTTTACAAAACCAACAACAATGTTTTGTTGGAAATGAACAATTATTGAGTGCTGCAACATTATCAAAACATGAAGAATTGCTTAGACAACAACAACAAAAAATTGCAGAATTACAAAAAGAATTGACTCGTTCACAAATAGGTTTACAAAAACATCAACAAATGTTGGGAGAAGCTAGAAAAGAGTCCCAACCTAGAGATCCGGAAACTGGAATAATTTTTGGGCAGGTTGAATATTGGCTTGGACAATTAATAAATACCCATAGAGAACAACAATTAACGTTGGAGAGACAAATAAATGGGCAAAAAGCCTTAGTTTGTGCTGAGCAAAAACTTCAGGAAGAATTACATACAGAACAAGCAGTTCAAGATATTTGTAGATTAATTGGGCAAGAATCAAAAACAGCATTGTTAATTGTTCGGCTTTTGAGGCGTTATCAGCTTGAACATAATAGTAGTCTATTAAATAGTAATACAACAACAACAAACCAAACAAACCAACAACAACCTCTCTTAAATTATTCTCCAAACAATAACCTTTTATTACAACATTCCGAACATTCATTAAATACTCAAGAAGAACAAAATTTAGTTGAAACAACAACAACAAAACATAAGAGAAAAGTTGGGAAACATTCAAACAAAGAAAAACATCAAAACATTAACAACATAACAATGTTTAAACGCAAAGGAGGTGTCCGAAGTAAATCTGCATTGGAAGGTTTAATTTCAAACGAACATACAAAAGATGTTTTTAAACGTTCGAGTTGTGAATGTTTTGACAACAACAATATTAATAATCAGAAACGGCCAAACTCATCTTTGGGTAAATGTTTTTATGTGTTTAATATGTTTTCCGGAAAACATGAATTAATTTTCCGGAAATTTACTGAAACATATTATTATTTAATTTTTCCGGAAAGTATAACTTTCCGGAAATAAATTTTTATGAAACAATTTTTCCGGAAAACATTAAATAATTTTTATAGTTTCCGGAAATTTACTGAAACATATTAATATATTAATTTTTCCGGAAAACTAATATATCTTTCCGGAAATGTATTTCTATGAAACAAATTTTCCGGAAATGTATTTCTATAACCTTATATATAAATAGGAGCAATCAATTCCGGTAGTACTTTTGACATGGAAGAAATTTTCCGTTCAGTCCTCGAAGGAAACAATAATAGCAACAACAACAATAATTCCCCTCAACCAACAACAACACCAATTAACAATAATATTTATTTAGCAGAATCCCAATTATTAATAGAAGAACAAAGACAACAACAATCCTTTGAACATATTATACATAGTCAAGAAATGGAAAAAACAATGCAGGATTTAATGGAAGTTTTACAAAATGATCAATCTACAACAACAACAACAACAAATTGTATAAATAATTCCCAAACAGATCGTTTAGCCAATTTTTTGGCCGAAGAAGTTGAAATGCATCGAAATAATTCCTCCAACATTTTTTCGTCTTCTTTCACTGCCTCAACAAATTTATTCCATGAATTAAACAATAATAACAATAACACTCCTCAACAACAACAAACATCATTCACAACAGAAATAGCTCAGAATGAAGAGAATACTTTATTTTTTAATGAGGAAAACGAAAGGGTAAAATTTTGAATTTACTTGAAATATTTTGAAAAATATTAAAAAAAAATATTTTAGGCAATCGACTGGTTAGATTCCTTTGACTCGTTCACAGCTGTCTTTTAAATGGAAAAGTGCCCTTCTAATAGAATAAAAACTATTTAAAATTCTCTAGTCAATATTAGATAGAAAAATAGCAATAGTAAAAATACTTATACAAAATGGTTTTAAGATTACAAAGGGTTGAGTTTTAAGCTTAAACTTGAAATATAATAAACCCAAAAATAAATACAAACTTAAAATTAATAAACAAAAATAAACCTGAAATACATAATAAACTTTTGAATAAAATAAAACTTAGAAAAGTAAGTTTGAACTTGGAATTAATAAAAACTTGAAAACTTGAATAAATTAAGATTGATAAACCCGCCTTAAATAAACTTGAAAATAAACTTGAATATAAAATAAAACTTGAAAATAAATACAAACTTGAAATATAAATACAAAACTTAAGATTGAACTTGAATATAAAATAAAACTTGAAAATATAAATAAAACTTAAGATTGAACTTAATAAACTTGAGAATAAATAAACTTGAAAAATTACAACCCTTTGTAATATTTTTACAAATTATAATAATTCCCTTCCCTTTTACCATTTGCCATTAAATTTAAAAAAATATTAAAGCTCAATATTCCTTTTTTATTATAACAAAGTTTTATTTAGTAGAATATTTTAATTAAATTTTAAATTAAAAAAAACTGCCTATGTAATATTTTAAAAATAAATAAATTTTTTTTTAAATTTATACCAACCTTCATTTTTAAAAAATAATTGAAATTGTAATTTTCTAAAAGACCAATAAATATTGGAAAAGCGTTGATTCAACCATTCATTTCGATCCTTTATTTTTTTTTAAATTAAAACGATTTTATTAAAATTACCGGAAAGGGTTTAGGTGCTGGTCCATAAACAGACTTTGCTGCGTTTAATATATCACTTCTTCAAATTAAAATTTAAAAAAAAATTATTGGGGGAGGGATACTAACGATTTTCGACGATAAGTCTCTTGACGCATTTTGGCAGTCATTTTCATAAATTTTGAATCCTTTCCAAGCATTTTTGGGGACAATCAGTGATATTTGAATAAAATTGGATTTATTGAGAAACGAGGAAAAGAACGTTTATTGCTGCGAGGATAAAAAAATAAAATTTTTGCTCTAAATAAAATGAAAAATAAACGCGTGAGAGGAGGAAAAGCGTAAAAAGGTTTTTAAAGCAAAGAAAGCAATTTGCCACACAAAATTAAATCCAAGTAAATAAAAGGACTCTTGGGAAGAAGTAAAGAATAGAAATTGGTTTGAGGTCAAGAAGAAAGCTAACAATAAGTATATAAAAAAGGTTGGAATGTAATATAGTGAGAAATACAAAGAAAATGCTGATGACAATTGTAATATGAACATATCAAGTTTAATTTTATAAAACATATCAAATTCAAGTTTATTTATAATTCAACTTGTTTCCAACTTGTTTTAAAACATGTTTAATTAAACTTTCGTTTGTAAAACATTTTTAAACTTTCCGGAAACTTTAAAAACATTCCGGAATTTATTAAAACCTTTAAACGAACATTTTCCGGAAAACATTCATTTTAATATTTAAAACATTAAACTTAAGTTTACAAACTTAAATTAAGTTCAAACTTGAAAATAAATTAAACTTGAATTAAGTTCAAGCTAGAAAATAGAGTTATTTATAAATAAATATTTATACAACATTAAATAAAATAAAAGCAATTTTGGCACATTCAATAAATAAAAAAAATAAATAAACTTTTCTCATTTTCACTCATCCTTGCTGTTTATAACAGAGACAGACAATATCCGCCTTCTCCACTTCGCAGAATACCTCTTAATTAAAAAATGCTTGGGACACAAAATATTAAAAAAATATATACCACTATTAACAACATAGCTAAAGGCCTTTCGAGAGCAAATCACGTCAATTCTGCCGCCTATTTGATCGGTTGCTTTTGATTGGATTTTACGTTTTGCAACGGAAGGTCTAGCGCCAATATTCTGAAATGTATTTTTAATAAAGTTAACTATAAAAAATTAAGCTTGAACTTGAAATATAAAAATAAACTTGTTTTTAAGTTTATAAGTTTATATATTTTATTTTCAAGTTTATAAACTTAAGTTTGCAAAAATAAACTTTTTTTTAGGTTTATATATCTATATATTTTATTTTCAAGTTTATAAACTTAGTTCGCAAAAATAAACTTGTTTTCATAAACTTAAAAAAATTAATAAATAAACTTTAATTACAAACATTGTCATTAAACACCTCAAGTATTATTCTTCTTATTACTTCACTATTACAATTCTTTCTGTGTATTTTGCTTTTGAAATTTTCTTCATTTTTAATAGAAGCTTTTTCTGATTTAATATTAATATTATTTATTCCCGGAAAAGTTGTATTTTTATCAGAATTTAAAGTTTCAAGTTTTCCGGCAAGTTTCTTCTCAATTTTGGTTATATTTTTGGGGGTATTATTTGTTGTTATTGTTTCTGGCTTGATTGTTGAAGTACTTGCAATTGTTGTTTTTATTGTTGAAGTTTGTTGTTGATTATTTGTAGTTGTTACCTTTACCTCTTTCCCCTCCTTCCCTTCACTTTCTTCGGTAACAGGAGAATCATCATCATAAATCATCATAGTATCCGGAGAGTTTTCCTCTTCCTTTGCCCCTTCACCATCAAAGTTCCCATTGTCAGGTGAAGCTCCCCCTGTGGCGTCTTCATCGCTGTCAAAAGGTGCTTGTCTAATAAGGCGTCTGCTTGAAGATTGAGGCTAATTGTAAAAATAAATTTATAAAGATTGTACACTTAAGTTTATTTAAAAGTTTATAATCTTAAGTTTATTTTACTTTAATTGTAAAAATAAACTTGAAAAAATTAAATAAACTTGAGTTTTACAATTCAAATAAAAATAAATTTGAATTGTAAAACTTGTTTATTTTAAAGTTTAATTATATTTGTAAAATTGTGAAACTTTTTGTAAAACTTGTTTCAAGTTTATATTCAAGTTTATTATATTCTATTTATTCAAGTTTATTTATAATTAATTGTAAATTAATTACAATCTGTAATTTTTAAATTTACAATTTGTAAATTATTTAAACTTACGTCTGAAGAGAATATTCTGTTCAAATTCTGTATGTCTGCCTTTAACAAAATTAATTTATTAAAATAAATTAAATAGTCAAATCACCTTAATAATTAAAAAATTGCCAAGAATCAACATAAAAATAATTTTTGAATTTAAAAACATTTTGTAAAAGTTTTACAATTTTTATTTATTTTTAAAAACTGAGCAGTTCCACCCCCAATTCTCTATTATTTATTTGAACAGCGCCTAACAAGGCGTAAAATGATTGTTAACCAAAAAACAGATATCAACTCGTGTCAAAGGAAATGATATCTTCCTTCACTCTCGAAGAAAAAAGTGCAAAAGAATAAATAAAATTTATTTATTATATCTCTGTGTGGGAGAAAAATAACAAGTTTATCCTTTTTTAAAAGATTTTTTTGCTCAATAATAACAACCACAAAAATGCTGGTTTCATTAAGATAATAAAAGAAAATTTAAAAAAATAATGTCAAATGCTAGAAGGCAAAGGGTAAATAAAGATGGAGTGCTTAATCAACCAGTGCAAATATATATTTAAGTGTTAAAAGCTGAAATAGAATAAAACTTGAAATAGAATAGATATTAATCAAATAAACTTGAATTTGTAAAAAATTAAAGTTGGATTTGTAAAACTAATATTGAGTTGTAATATTAGACTTTAAATATAAAAATAAACTTGAATTTTTATAAATAAACTTGAATTGTAAAAAAAACTTGGTTTTGTTAGCACAAACTTGAATTGTAAAAAATAAACATGGATTTGTAAAAATAAACTTTAAATATGAAAATAAACTTGAATTGCAAACTTAAAAACTTAAAATACCAATAAAACACACTTTATTAGTTTTTATCCAATTTATTAATTGTAAAATTAGTAAATCAATTACAAATTATAATTTTGTTTGTTTTTCACTTTCTACCAACTACTGGAGGTGCCATAGCTGGAGTTCCAGGTCCAAGAGGGAATCCAACAGGTATAGCTGGTGCTAGGGTTTAACTTTAATTAATCCTCATAATTTATTATTTATCACCCTGAGCTCCCAAACCAGAAGGTAGAGCGGGCACGGGAGCACTTGCCTCAGCAAACAATGCTTGAAAGTAGGGGGAGTAGCTGGTTGCTGGCCACTAAATATACCACTTTTAATTCAAAATTCAATTTTTAAAAACTAACGGCAGCAGGCTGCTGTCCATTATATCCCAATATGAGCATATTGAAGAGGAAAACTGTTGAAAGTCGTACAAGTTGAAAAGGCATTAATAATTATAAATTAGGAGTGTTAATAAAAGGTAATGAATAAATGAAAATATCTTTTATATTTATTATTTGTATACACAATTTATTAATATAACTAGTTAATAAAGAAGAGGTAATCAAGATTACAATAGGTGACTTAAGTGAAAGAAGGAGTAAATATTAAATAAACTTACCGGAAAACAATAAGTTCTTAGAATTGCACTATTCTAATCATATTGCACTAATATACTCAAAAGCAGGCGGAATTTATTAGTTATTATTTTACAAACTTTAATTACAAACTTGATTACAACTACAAATCCAAGTTTATTTTATGTATAAATTGAAGTCTATCTATTTGTAAAACTTAATTACAAACTCAACTACAATTACAATTATATGTCCAAGTTTATTTTTATGTGTATATTCAAGTTTATTTTTATATTCCAAGTTTATTTTATTAGCATTGTATTCCAAGTTTATTAAGTTAGCAGTGGTTCACAGCCTTAATTACAAACTTGATTACAATTATATGTCCAAGTTCATTTTTAGGTGTATATTTATTTTAAAATTGTATTCCAAGTTTATTTTCTAATCACTATTTTTTAAAATTAATTCTTCTTTGTCGTCACATATTTTTTCCCTCAAATAAAATACATATTTAAAATAATAACCAACGACAACACTTCTTTTTTAATTTATTTAATAGCCTTTATTATTATTTTCTCATCTTTTCCTCACTTTTTTCAATAACTAAATTTGTCAAAAAAAATCTAAAGCCGATTTATCAAAAGATTTAAGTGTTGAATAAATTGATGGTGGCAAGACAACCGCACACTTTTAAATTTTTTTATACTTTTCCTTGGCATTTCCCCTTTATATCAGTCCAAAACCATTCCAAAGGTAATAAATAAATATATTCATTTTTCATTTTATTTTGAAAATGAGATCCTTTACGGCATACTGTGCTATACTTTCTATGGTTGGAATTGTTATGAATTTACTTTTTATTCTGGTTACTCGAATACAACGAGTTGAACGAGTTCAAGTAAACGAAAAAATAAATTATTTTAAAATTAAATTATTAATTTAAAGGAAGTTCTCATTTTTATGCGCAGTATTTCCGTTGGATACATTTTTGTAGCTTTAGCATTAATGGCAGTCGCCCCACAATCTATTACCCTAGCTAGCACTAATATTCGGATACCACATGGACTTTTAGCGTTGAGCAATGCTGGTTTGACTTCCAACTTTATGGCAAGTTTATTTATTGTAAATTTAATTACAAATTGTAAAAACTAATTTGTAAAACTTTAAGTTCTCTATTTTCAAGTTTAATTAATTCTAAGCCAAGTTTATTTATTGTAAATTAATATTCAAGTTTATTTAGGAAATTTAAGCTTACAAATTGTAAAACAAATTGTAAAACTTATATTCTAAGTTAAAACTTTTTCTTTATTTTTAAGTTTGTAAATTAAAATTCAAGTTTCAAGTTTATTTATTTATTTCTATTTCCAAGTTTATTAATTAGTAGCCAAGTTTATTTATTGTAAATTCCAACTTTATTTAATTATAAGTTAAGTTTCTGATCAAGTTTATTTATTTCTATTCTATATTTCCAAGTTTATTATATTCTATTTATATTTTCAAGTTTATTAATATCAACTTCAATTTAATCAACCTATTTCCCACAGAATGGACTAGCAGCCTTTGGCGCCGGTTGTTTCCTATTTACTGCATTTTGCTTCTGTCTTCTTTTCTTGTACCATTACCGCAAGACGGCTGGACAAATGTCAACAGTATTCGCCCCCAAAAACGTTCCTGTATTTCTGGGTGTTGCTATTGTTTTTTGTTTAGTTCAATCCTTTCTACTTTTTTATTCAAAAGTTGATCCAAATGTAAGAGGCAGATGATTTTTAGTTAAAATTAAAATTTCAAGTATTTACTGGAACGTCTTTCTCGGTCAAAAAAATGGGAAGAATTACAATTAAGTATGGGCATAAATTTAAATTCGAGTCAAGAAGGGACTAGTCTCATTCAACAATCTAATAATAATAATGGAAATAATGGAGGGACAGGAGGAAGTGGAAATTCAATTAGCGGAGGCTTCCAAGCCATTACTGGAGGGAGTAATTATAGCGCTCTGGCTGCCGCTATTGAATCTAAACAATTTGATACTAAAGGAAGTGTTAGTGGAGGGACTGAACAAACTGTAAGAGAGAGAAAAATAAACTTGAAAAAAATAAACTTTAAATAAAAAATTAAAAAGGTTCGTCTATTCGAAGGAAGTTTTGGAACTGATTATTCTCGCAATCCTTTGTATTTCCTCGCTAATGGAGTTTTAATAATTACACTTGTTATTGCTTGGCTTATAGCAATTATAACGGTGAACTTATTTTTTACAAATTGTAATTTCCAAGTTTTCAGGCAACAACAGTAAAGTGCAAACTTAGTGGGCAACAAGAAAATATGTCTGATAAAAGTCAAATAGAAATGGCTCAGTTTACAAATGTAAATATACAATTTACAATTGAGAATAATAAATAAACTTTTTTTACAATTTAAGGTTTTAATTGTTGCGCATCTCCCTACAATAGCAAGCATTTTTACAAACTTAAAAATTTAAACTTGAAAACTTAAGTTTATTTTCAAGTTTATTTATTCTGAAAATAAACTTGAGCATCTCTTTTGTAGACTTAAAAACTTTTTTGTAATCAAGTTTTATTTTCAAGTTTATTTTCAAGTTTTATTTTCAAGTTTATTATATTCTGAAAATAAATTAATCAGAAACTTAAGTTTCTGATTTCCAAGTTTATTTTATACTCTAAAACTTTTTTTAAATTTTACAATAGAAAATTACAATTGTAATTTTAATTAAAACTTTTTTTAAAGTTGGTAGCAATTGCTGGTATAAACTACATTGTTTGCTTTGTAATGGGTGAGAGTAACCAGTAAGTTTATACACTTTAAAAAATATTAAAAAAAATTTTCAAGGCCAATCCAAGAATTCCTCGGGATGTTATTAATTGCCCCAGTCCCGACAATTTATGCTTTTGTTTGTCTCGTATTTATTACCGAATTTCGGCATGCTACTCAGCAAATATTGTTGTGCCGAATTTGGAATAGAAAGCAAAGACAAGAGAGAGCTGCTGCTGAACGTAAAGCACAAGAAAATATTGACGAGGAGTTAGCTAGTGCATCACGAAATAAATTACGAAATAAGAGAATGCCAAACAGTGAAAGTGCTCTACCTAATAGGTCTTCTAATTTCTGATTTTTTAATTTAAAAAAATATTTTTTTTCAAAAATTAGCACTGAACAAACTGGGGGAGGGGAAAATACAAAAAGTGTTGGTACAACCTCGAATAATACAAAAGAAAAATCTGGGCGTTATATCGATGCGACTGATGATACACACCGTGAAGCTCGAGCTTTGTTTGGGAAACAGAATTAAATGAATTTTTAATTAGAAGAATAAAAACAAATATTTTAAAAATGGAATCAGAAAAAAATAAATTTGAATTTTATATTAACTTGATTTTAAATATATTTGCATAAATTTTGGTAGTTTTACAATTAATTAATTGTAATTGTAAAATATTTAAAAGACTGTTGAAATTAAAAATAAACTTGAAAATAAGTTTAAACTTGAAAACTTGAAAAGAATATAAAAATAAGTTTGAACTTGAAAACAAGTTTAAACTTGAAAACTTAAGAATAGGTTGAAAAAACAAGTTAAAACTTGAAAACAAGTTGGAAACAAGTTTGAACTTAAAAACTTAGAAAACAAGTTGGAAACAAGTTTGAACTCGAAAACAAGTTTAAATATAGAATTAAATAAACTTGGAAGTAAATATAAGCATGAACTTGAAAATATGCTTTAAAATAAACTTGAAATACAAATTGTAAAAATACGAACTTTTTTTTTACAATTCTTATCTAAATCTTATTTCCAAACACATTACAACAATAAAAATATAATATCCTCTTTTTCCACTTGAAAAATATATATTTTATGTAAACAGTCAAGAAAAATTGTAAATAAGAAGAAAAAATAAAGAAAAAAAAGTCCCAAAAAAATTTTGGATAAAGAGATAAAATAAATGTTTGCGCACAGAAATAACTTACTTTAGTTAACTTGAGATCACTTAACACAGAAAATGTTGGAAGAGAAAAAATGACGAGAATCTAAGCTGTGGCTGGTTATAACAACTTTCTCTACTAGCTTAAATATATTTCCAATCTATATTTTAAAGCTTATCTAGTGTTAATATTTTTAGATATTAAATAATTATATTTAATTAATTAATTAAAAAATGGCTGATGATGATATTGAAGCAAGAAATATTCTCTAAAATTTCAAAAATAATTTTTAATTTACAGCAAAAACGCAAAAATGATGAACGGGAACGTAAAAAGGCCGAAGTGCGTAAACGCCTGGAAGAAGCAGGGAGAATGAAAAAGGCTAAAAAGGTAATAAATTAAACTTATTAAAATAAACTTTAATTTATTTTTAAGGGGTTTTTGACGCCTGAAAGAAAAAAGAAGTTGAGGGCAAGTTTTAATTATTCTATTATTTAAGTTTTAATTATTCTATATTCTACAAGTTTTAATTATTCTATATTCTATTATATTAAGTTTGAGAATAAATAAACTTGAAATTAAAAATCAGAATTAATTAAACTTGAAAATAAATAAACTAAAAACTAAAAGCTTAAATAAACTTGAAATTAGATAATAAAACTTAAGATCAAGCTTAAAAATAAAATAGAAAAATAAACTTGAAATTAAAAATCAGAATTAATTAAACTTGAAATAAACTTAAGCTCAAACTTAATAAACTTAAAATAATTATAACCTATCCGGAAGGAATAAACGTAAGATCAAGCTTAAATAAACTTGGAAAAATACAGAAAAGAATTCTTTCCGGAATAATTATATTTTAATTAATTCCTTCTTTTCCGGAAAGTTTATTTTATAGAAAATAACTCTTTCCGGAAAAAAGCTTATAATTTGTTTTTTCCGGAAAGAGTATTTTCCGGAAAGTTTATTTTAATAAATTCAGAAATTATTAATGATGAAGGCAGCAGAAGACTTGAAGAAACAACAAATGTTAAAAGAACAAGAACGCCAATCAGTGCTAAATGAAAGAATTGTGCCTTTACCCGAGTTGGAGTCTAGTGGGGAAGGTTTTGAAGGGGAATTTAAATAAAATTAAAAAAATTAAATTTTTGAAGATGAATTACAACGAATCTCCAAGGAATTCGCAGAGAGTGTAATTAGGTTGGAACGGGAAAAGTATGATTTAAGCTACACTGTTCGACAAAAGGATTTTGAAATAAATGAATTGACTATTGCTGTGAACGATTTGAGGGGAAAATTGTTTGGAATTTTTAAAATGAAATTTTTTTATTTTAATTTTATTTTTAAGTGTAAAGCCAACATTAAAGAAAGTCTCCAAAGTAAATTAATTCTTAATTTTAAGCTAAATTAATTTTTAAATTTATTTAATTTTTCAGACTGATAGCCAGGTCAGAGTGTTTTATTCAATAAAATTTAGTTTAAAATAAATTTAATTAATTAGTTTGCCAAATTAAAAACAAAAGAAGGACAGAAGGTTGATTTCCGTAATAACCTTAAAACGGTAATTATTTATTTTTAAAATACTTAAGTTTCCGGAAAGAATATTAAATTAATTCTGACTTTCCGGAAAGATTATTTTAATAGTTATTAGGTAAAGAAAGTTTTCCGGAAAATTTTATACTTAAAAATAATATTTTCCGGAAATATTTATAAATTAATTCTGAGGTTTCCGGAAAGTTGTATTAATAAAAATAGACTTTTCCGGAAAGTTTTATATTCTTGTCCTAAACCTTTGCAGAAGGTTTTAAAGATAGATTCCGGTTAAATTATAATTCCGGTTAAGTTATTCCGGTTAAATTATAATTCCGGTTAACCAGCGCCTATATTTATCTTTTGCATTATCAAAAGGAAAAATTGCCAAATTAATTTAATAGCTATTAACCCAGTTAATATTTTACTTAAAAGGTGGAGAAAAAGCAGTTTGCTTTGGAAGAGGTAGGTAAATTAAATAATTAAATTAATTAAAAAAGGGAAAAAAATTTAATTTAATTATTTTAGAAGGATGAGAAGATTAAAGTAGAATGGAGTAAAAATTAATTGAAGAATTTAAAAAAAAAGCTGAAAATGTATTAAATAAAATATGCGCCTAGATAAGACTTGACTTAAAACTTGAAGAAGAATATTTTAATAATAAATAATTTCCGGAAATTATTTTCCGGAAATATTATGTGTCTTAAATAATTCTTTTTCTTCCGGAAAATATATTATAAATAAACTTTTTTTCGCTCAATAACTATTCAGATTTCCGGAAAAAGTTTAATTCTGATGTTCAAATTAACCACTCTGATTTTCCGGAACAGGTTTAATTCTGATTTTCTAACAGCTATTTAATAAAAATAATTCTGATTTTCTGACTCAATTTATAAAATAAAAAAATATTTTTTTAAATAATTTAAACTATAAAATTAACAATAATATATACAAAACATTTTGAGATGTTAACTGAAAAATAAATTGTGAATTCACAAGTTGTGAATAAATATTAAAAAGAGTAAGTGTAGAGAAGAGGGAATTAAACAATAAAAATTTTTAAAAATTAAAGGAAAAAATTAAAAAAAATATTTTTTTGAATTTTAAAAATAAATATAATATTTTAACGAAAAAAAAAAGTTTAAAATTAAAAAAATAAATTTTTAGGAGGAAAACACCCGAGAATAATAAGGGAGAGAGGGAGTAAACATTAACAACAATAAATTAAGAAATATATAAATTAAAATACCTATCAACAGCTTGGCCTAATTTGACATTGTTCTCGTTCATATTCACTACCTGGACATTGCCCGCCCCCATAGCATTTTCGCACCCTTCTTCTAAATCCTTGTCCACAGCTTTCAGAACAGACAGACCAATATCCCCAGCCTTTATTAAAATTACAAATCAGAATAAATTTATTAATAATTCTGATTTTTGAAAATTCTGATTTTTGAAAATTCTGATATTGTAAAATTCTGATTTTTGAAAATTCTGATTTTTGAAAATTCTGATATTGTAAAATTCTGATTTTTAAAAATTCTGATATTGAAAAATACTGATTTAGAAAATTCTGATTTGAAAAATTCTGATTTTAAAATTTACAAACCAGAATTTGTAATAATTCTGGTCGTTCCGGAAGATTAATTAAATAAACTTTTTTCCGGAAATTATTCTCTTATTAACTACTAAGTTTTCCGGAAAAGTTTTAATTTTTTCAAATTACAAATTCTGGTCATTAAACAAAACAGAATTTGCACTTTAAAATTCAAATTTTGATATTTATATTTACCTCCCCAACTTGCATCCTCAACAGAACATGGTCCATTATTACAAATGGAAGAATCAAAGTGGTATCCGGGACAATTCCCATACTGGCAGTGACGAGTTCGCCTTCGCACTCCATTACCACAGGTTGATGAGCAAGGGCCCCAAACACTCCAACCACTTTTTTTGTTAATTTAAAAATTATAAAATAATTTATTTAAACACCTCCACTCAGCATTTAACGTTTGTTGTTCTGCACATGCCTGCTCATTACAAAATGATTGTTCTGTTGAAGATCCAGGACAACTTTCACCAGTTGGGCAGGTTCTAAGAATATTTTTCCTTTTCATTTTCCCCCTCTAAAAACCCTATACTGACCTACTCCTTGAACGAACACCTTTTCCACATAAACGCGAACATTCACTCCAAACCCCCCAAGTATTCCATCCCCCAGAACATTCGCGAAGATTACAGGCCATTCGTTGTTGCCAAGAGCCGTCACAGGCGCCTGACTGGGGAAAACATGATCGTGTTCTACTTTGGAAGCCTGGACCGCAGGAAACAGAGCAGACAGACCACACACTCCAACCTGTATTTATTTGTTTATTGTTTGGGTGTTCCCGGAAAACTTTACAAAACATTTAATTATTTTCCGGAAACATTATAATCCTTTCCGGAAATATTTTATATTTTTCCGGAAACATTTTACACTTTCCGGAAATATTTTATTTTTTTCCGGAAAATATTCTATTCAATTCCGGAAAAATTTAATTATTTTCCGGAACATATTTATTTCCTTCCGGAATTTATTTAATTTGAATTTTTCCGGAATGTTTTTATATTAAATAGACTTATGTATTTCAACAACTTGCCTGTCCATTGCGCCCCAGATCTATCCAAACGGTTTCCGGAATTACAAGGTAATTCATCACAATTGCGCAATTCCATTGTTTGACCTAATTTAATTATTTTTTTAAATTAAAAAATAAATTTATTTTTATTTTATTTCTTTTTTCTCGCCTTGCCTTGACACGAAAATGCAACACTTCCTTGAGAGTTTTGGCAACGCCTGTAACGCGCTTGACTTCCACGACCACAACTGACAGAACATTGGGTCCACGGGGTCCACTCCGTCCATACGGGTTCTCCAGCTGGTATAGTTGGGCAAACATGTCTGTTACACGGCTGATTTTGTGTAGGTTCCCCCTCACAACGGTTGTTTATATTGCAGGTTCTAGATCGTATTTGGACGCCCAAATCCCCACAGCTTGCAGTACACGATGACCAAATAGTCCTTAAATTAAAAAAATATTCAAAAACCCTATAAATTTACCATTGCCCCCATTGACCGTTGGACATAGTTTTAGTATCAATATTTTCAAGGGGGCATCTCTCGTGAGTAGAGGGACAAGAATTTCTGCTGGACCGTTGATCATCTGGAGCTAGGATGGAATCTTCGCATGACAATTCCTGTAAATAAAAAATATATTTAAATTCCGGAAACATGTTATTATTTTCCGGAAAGCTGTATCTCTTTCCGGAAAGTTACTATTTGTTTCCGGAAGGATGCTATTCCTTTCCGAAAATATTCTATTCCTTTTCCGGAATTTTCTAATTTATTTAATTCTAATTTTCCGGAAAATAAATCAAGGAAAAATACATTCCGGAAAAATGAAACTTGTTTATAACTAAGCACAAACAAATAAAATAGAAAGAAGCAAAAACAAACAGCAACAAAACCAAAAACAAAAATTAAAGCTCTAGCTAATTTTCTCCACTACCACCTCCATCAATTCTCATCCATATTTTTTGACGAATAAAAGCTTCATCATTTAATATTATTTTTCTTTTACTTGAGTTTAAAAGGAGGCAATTTTGCCAGAAATATTTGTTCGCAATCTGTTTATAGAAAATTAAAAGAACAAAAAATAAGCAAAACAAAGTTTTATATTTACAATTGTAAATAAGCTTTTACAATATGTAAAAAGTTTAATTAGGTATTAGACATACCGTGCACTCCCCATTCAAGCAATACCGGTCCCAACCACAAGGCGCTAAATTAATAAATTTAATAATTCTGATTTTTCTAATTCAAAATTTTAAATCAGAATTTTTAATAAGAAAATTCTGATTTTAATTGAAAAATCAGAATTTTAAATCAGAACTTTTAATATAAAAATTCTGATTTTATTTTAAAAAAATCAGAATTTTAGATCAGAATTTTTAATATAAAAAATCAGAATTTCTGATTTTATTAAAATTATAAAAATTCTGATTTTTTAATCATCAGAATTTTATTTATTCTGATTTTATCAGAATATTTAATTAATTCCCCTACCTCCATCCGGAAGGTTGTCTCCATAAAACCTATAATTTCTCTGCGACCCAAACCCATTTTGCACATCACAGAATATTTTGCATGCGCGTTGAGGGAACCGAGTTAACTGACTGCCACTTCCGGTTAATTCAGGGTCATTCCGTTGATATTTATGTTCAGCACATTTACTTGCTATAAGAAAATTATTAAACTGGAATTTAATATTTTTGCAAAAATAATAAAAATATTTTTAATTTATTATGACGTCTTAAAAGAAGCCGTTTAAAAGGGTAGAGATCAAAATTAAAAGAATGCATTATTGGCCAAATAAAAATTATTTTTATTTATTTATAAAAATAATTTTTGAGAAAAATAATTTTTGAGAGAGAGAGAATATTCCTTCTTATTTTCCCCCTAATTTTCTTAAAATTTCAAAAAAATTACAAATATATTGGTTGACACTATTTCCCCCTTCTGCACACTTTCTCGTGCAGACTGCCGCCCGTTGATTTGGCCCTTGACATTCGGCACCTCCATTTACTGGTTCTGGATTGGAACAACTTCGGTGAGAAAGTGTCTAAAATAACATTAGATTAAATAAATTTTAATTCAAGAATCACCACGCCGATAGAACCAGAAATGCTTGGACATGAGCATTGTTTGCAATTGAAGGGAGACCACACAGACCAGCCACCGTTGATTACTTGTTGCTAGAATAATAGAAATTAACTATAATTAATTTTTACAATATAATTTTCCAACTTTTTACAATTTGTAATTTCCCCCATTTTGTTTACAACTTTTTATAATTGTAATTTCCAACTTTTTTTCCAACTTTTTTTACAATTTGTAATTTGCCCTATTCTAAGTTTATTTTTTCTCCTACTTATTTTCCAACCTTTTTTTCCAACTTTTTTTCCAACCTTTTTTCCCTTTTGTAATTTACAACTTATTCAATTTACAATTACAACTTTTTTATAAAACTTAAAAATGTTAGAGAGAGATAGAGAGAGAGAGGAAAAAGTTGCAAGCAAGTTTTTCAAGTTTGCAATTGCAAGAAGACATAAAAAGTTGCAAATTAAATAAGTTGGAGATAATTAAGTTTGTAAATAGAATTTAATGTAATTTTTTACACTAAATTAAGCAAGAGAAAGTTGCAAGAAGTAAAAGAGAGAAAAAAGGAAAGTGTTAATTTAAGTGTTAATTAAAGAACAAATTAAAGACGATTCAGGACCTTTGGCCGTTAAATCATCAGAAAACATCAGAAAAAATTTTACAGATCAGTGGCCATAATTTGGCACTGGAAACTTGGCGGAATTTTTTGCATTTTGAATTTTGGGTAAAAAAGTGGCGTGGAAGGGTAATTAAGAGTTGAAATGATAAAATGAGAGAAAATAGGGATTTGGGCCTAAATTAAAAAATAAATTGGTTAAAAATAATAAAATTAATTTTTAATTAATTCTAAGAATAATTAAATTTATTTTTTGAGAAAATTAAAATTAAATATTAAATCTATTTATAAATTAGTGAGGCAGAAACAAAAACAAAAAAAAATTTTGAAAAATACACATGGCAGTTAATATTAGTGGAAAAAATATTTTTAAGTTTATCCCTAAAAATAAAATAGCTGCAAACTTCATTGAACGTCATCCATGACGACAAACTTTTTTTTAAAAATAAAATAGAAGAAAATATTCAAGTGTTTCGATTTGATGATAAATTAAAAGTGAAGAAAAAAACATGTTAGGTAGATGTTCATATTAAAAATAAAAGAAATACAAAATAAAACAAAAACAAATAAAGTATTCCTGAACAACATGTTTGTTTTTGTCATGTTTTTAGAAAGAATTATTTCCGGAAAAACATGTTCCTCAGAAAAATAAACTTGTTTCTTCAGGAAAAGTAATATACTATAATGTTATCTGTTTTCCGGAAAATATAACTTATATTTATTTCCGGAAATGAAATAGACAATCCGAATATTTTTCCGGAAAACAGAATTCCGGAAAGACAAAATTCCGGAAAACAAAATTCCGGAAAAACAACATTCCGGAAAAACAAAATTCCGGAAAACAAAATTCCGGAAAAACAAAATTCCGGAAAAACATGTTCGTCAGAAAAATAAACTTGTTTCTACAGTAAAATAATATTTAAATATTTCCGGAAAAATATTAACCATTTTTATTTGTATTTTCCGGAAAAGACAAAAGTTGTAATTTACCCTATTACTATTGTAATTGTAATTTTTACCCATTTCTTCTTCTTTTCTTTTTAGTATTGTTATTATTACCACTATTATTCCCTATTTGTATTACCAGACCCTTTCTTCCCTTATTTCGTCGTTGCCAGTCAGCAATAGTTTTTAAATACTTAGCTAATGTTCCACCAGATTTTGGCCTAATTTTATAACTCACAGGGTAGACGGCTGTAGTAGTTGTGGTAGAATAGGTGGGGTATTGTGGTTGAATTTGAGGTCTAGGGGAAAGCGGAGCTCCAAATCCTGTCCACGGGACACAGCGGCCAAGAGAACACCTTTAAATTATTTTTTTAATTTTAAATTTAAATATTTTTACCATTTTCTATCACCACAAAAAGTGCCTTCCAATGCTGGGTGTGAAGTAACTATTCGTCCATAGGATCCCTGACCACACCACATCATATTACAAATACCGTCTAGAAGAGAAGGGGAATGTACTACATATAGGTATATTTTTCCGAAAATATTTTTTACAAGAGGGGAATATTACAAATTGTAAAACAAGTTTTCTTACAATTGTAAAATTGTCAAAAAAGTTTTCAAGTTTTAATTAATAAACTTTAACATTTACAAAAGCAAGTAAGTTTTAAAAATTTAATTTACAAATTGTAAAATTTTACAAATTGTAAAACAAGTTTTAAAAATTCACCGTAGTGGTCCTGCCTAGGAGAAACTTGAACATAACTAGTTCCATGCATCAATCTACACTGCTCGTGCGCATCATAAATTTGGCCTGGTTTTAATGTATCTCTCATAGGCAACTTTTCACGCAGTAAAGACACTCGAAGACAATTTTTATTTTTGGAACTAGAAAAATAAAAATTAAAAAAAACCCTCAAAACTCACTCCAATCTTTGAATAAAATTTTGATAATCTCTTAAAGAACAGGTTGACCATGTAACTTTTCCAGGACCAAGAGAAGAACTCATTATATAATTATCAGAGCAGTAAGGCTCATCGTGTCTCATACCTACAGAGTGACCCAATTCGTGTGTTCCAATAAAAGCTGAAGTGAAATCTAAGCCTTCTGCTAGGGTGCTAGAAATAAATTTTTTTTTAAAATTAACAAATTCTTTAATTCGTAAAAGTACCAAGTATTCCAAGGATCGCACATCCCTTAAAAAATATATTTTTTAATTTCAATCGAATTTCCCAAAAAATTTTTTTATTTACCATCCAGCCTAGCAATCCCTGAAATTGAATTAGCACCATAACCACGGTGAATGTCATATCCTGTAAGCATTAATGCGTGATCCCAGTCTTGCACACCCAAACTCCGCTGGTACCGACAAAATCTGTCCAGGTATCTCTGCGCGTTTCCATTCTCGTGTAAATACGCAGCCAATGCACTCTATAAAGTATAAAAACATTTTACAATTTAAACTTTGAGAATTGTAATGTTTTCCGGAAAGTATATTGCTTTTCCGGAAAGTTTTTTACAAATTGTAAAAAAATTACAAATAACAAAATTGTGTTTTCCGGAATAGGGAAAATTGTAAAATATGTTTTCCGGAAAATATATTGCATTTCCGGAAAGTTTTTACAAATTGTAAAAAAAGTACAAATTGTAAAATTGTGTTCCGGAAAGTATATTGCATTTCCGTAAAGTTTTTACAAATTGTAAAAAAGGTACAAATTGTGAAATTGTGTTCCGGAAAATATACTAAGTTTCCGGAAAGTTTTTACAAATTGTAAAAAAAGTACAAATTGTGAAATTGTGTTCCGGAAAGTATATTGCATTTCCGTAAAGTTTTTACAATTTGTAAAAAAATTACAAATAACAAAATTATGTTTTCCGGAAAATATACTAAGTTTCCGGAAAGTTTTTACAAATTGTAAAAAAATACAAATTGTGAAATTGTGTTTTCCGGAATATTATCATAAAAAAAAGTTGTAAGCAATGTTTCCGTAAAATACATTTGTATTTTCCGTAAAATACAAATTGTAGTTAAGCAAAATACAATTTCGCGCAGTCTTTAAATTTAACCTCGCAAATTTCACGTCATATTGTGAAAGCAAAAATAAAAAAAAAAGAGTACAAATTCATCAATAAAAATCAATTTAAAAATATAAATTATTTCCGTGAAGGGGTTAACGCATTAATTATCTATTATATTTATTTATCAGCCTGTTTGTGACGAAATAATAATAAAAAGTTTCATCACAGGTGAATTTTCCCCTTTAATTTTAATTAAAATTCAAAGACTAATTTTAAAAAAATCAAAGTTTATTTAACTAAAAAAGGAGTAAATTGAATTTTTAATTGAAAATTTTACCGGTTGTGTTTGAAAAACTTCATATCGAACAATTTTGAATGTTATAGTTGGCAATGCTGTTGGTTGTTTGTACATTATCTTTAAAAAAAATAATTTTAGTAATTATTCCGGAAAATTAATTTTATTACTTATAGATTCCGGAAACTTGAAAAAATATTAAACTAATTATAAATTCCGGAAGAATCTATATTTTCCGGAAGAATCTGTATCCAGAAAAATCTTTACCTTTTTTCCGAAAAAATTTGTAAAATTAAAACAAATTGTGTTTTCCGGAAAGAAAATTCAGGAATATTAAATTAATTAAAAATTCCGGAAGAATCTATATATAATTGATATATTTTCCGGAAAGAATAAAAAAATATTCTTTTCCGGAAAAATTTGTATTCTAAATTAAAGCGTATTGTGTTTTCCGGAAAGACAATTCCGGAAATATATTAAATTAAATAAAATGCTTCCGGAAAGGAGCAAATAATATTTTCATTCCGGAAAATATTAATTAACTAAAATACAAGTTTGTGTTTTCCGGAAATAGAGAATACTAAATTATTTAAAAACACACTTGAATATTGCTAAGCATAGTCAGTGCATATTGCTGTAGTTTCTGCCAAGCCAGAGATCCATGCCTGGACGAAAAATGCCTCCAAAGCTCCTCATCTACAAAAATAGCCAATTCAACAACCAACTCACTTTCCTGGGACATTCTTTGACCAACAACAAAAACATCTTCGTGAATTCCCGCCTCACTATCAAGCAATTCATCACTACTAATTGTATTTTCTATTCCACAAAATTCTTCATCTTTTTTTGCTTCAACAGTATCCCTCTTATAAATTACATGGGTTAATAAATTATTTGTTGAGCGCCGCATCCTTGCATTGTGCCTTTGCGGTATTGGGTGGATTACCCAAAGACTGCCGTTACGAAGAATACTTCCTTTCTGGAGAAAAGAGAATTAATTAAAGTACAAATTAAAATTAGTTCACAATTGTAAAAAAAAATTAAAAGCACTAATAGAATTTCCAGAAAAAAGTATATAATGTTTTACGGAAATTTCCGGAAAAGCATATTTTATTTTTAATTAAATGTTTTCCGGAAAAATGCTTCCGGAAAATATTTATAAATAAAAACATATTTTGTATTTTCCGGATGTTCGTATGTTTTCCGGAAAAGTATATATATTTTAAATTAAATGTTTCCGGAAATTTCCGGAAAAAAATAAATTAAAAACACATTTAGTAAAATGTGTTTTCCGGAA